TTTCGAAATCAAATAACTAGCTAATATTTGTACATACCCCGACAAGGAGTGGACTGGTCGCTGCGACACATAACAGTACGATTGGCTTCACACAGTTTGGGTACGACATCATCGAGTTCGCCATGTTTACTTTTGATGAGAGGTCGAACTTTCCACACCCAGAATGACGTATGAAGTAATGTGACCCCCATGTCCGCGTTGCTTCTTTGCGAAGATGAGGTCATACGAAACATTTTGACGCATGCGTAAATACAATGAGTCTTGTACACATTATCGTGTACTAATTTTTTTGTTTGAAAATCGAACATTATTATTAAATGGTTTTAAATAGTTGTAGTTGCAGGTACCTAGGAACTCGCAGATCAAGAAAAATAATCTCAGCTTCACACTTTCAATTCGAAGGTCTGCCACAGGTAGAATATACTGAAATTGCATTTTTAAAACATTTCCTACATTTTCTGTGTGAAGAATAAAAAGAATAACTAGGTTGTGAAATGTGCTGCCAGAATCTACAAGACATTTACTATTAATGTAGAAGCCTACTCATAAATTAAAATACCCAGAATTTATTCATTTTGCAATAAACTATACTCCAAGGCATTATAAGGGTATTGGCCTAAAAAAGTTGGGGGTCACCAGCCTTTCGAGAAATTGATGATTGTATTTTAGCGGAAAGTCGACATTTTGACACTAATATAACACTTTTACGACAGGTTCCTATGGCAAAGATATTATGCAATATCTCAAAATCTAGCCTGGTGACATAGGCTGAAAAAAATCATATATTGTTAATGATGGAGTATTTTTTTGTTTTTCTGAATTATTTAAAAAGTCTGGGTTTTAAAAAGTGTTAAAAAATGCAATTTTTCTTTAACAATGTGTTCTATGGAATTGTTCTAATAATACCAATTTTCAAGGAATATTAGGACCATTTCTCGAAAAGTTTAACTGTAACACACAAAGTAATGCTATTTCATTGTACCATGAGACATTAGTTTCATGACTGTACATAATAAAATAATGAACATTGTCATGCGATTTATGACCAATTTTGTCGAAAATTACGACTAGGCTTCTTATTTTTTTAATTTGCGTTCTACATTTCAAATTCAGCACAAAGAAGACGGTGAAAACCAACCTTTGTGCATGGAGAACATAG